GTCTGCCGGCTGAGAAGCCATCATTGTTTTAGAGGTTTAATGGTCCAAATATATAATTTGAGTTAAATATTTTGGTCAAGCCTTGAATATATTAAAATGAATTGTTTGATTCCGTCTATTTGGGAAATAAGCTTCTAGTTGCTTTTCTGTTGAGAGTTTGATGAGGAGATTGATACCACTCTCTCTGTATATAGTACAGTAAATATATATACGGCTGGAGCCAGAGGCCAGTTAGCTTAGCACACTGAGGAAAACAGCCAGTCAGGTTCTGTCCAAAGGTAACAAAATCCCCCTACCACCACCCCTACAGCTCATAAGTTAAACCAAATTTAAAGATCATCATTATTGTTTAATACATTCTAAAGCTACTGTACATTACCTATTTTCCTTATATTTAAGTTATATAGTAAAACATGTGCAGCCATATATTGCAAATTTGATATATTTCACAATGCATTCTACATATCTCTAAATGTATAATGAAATATTTTTCAGATATATAGGAATCAATTATAATAATAATAATAATCTATAAATATATAGTTTTATATTGTATATTAAATAATTACACTTTGAAATTTTCTCTTTATATACAGAGAATATTGCGGTGCAGAGGGATTGTTGTATGTATATAAATTGCACAAAGAGTATTGCACTGTTACGTAAACTATCAATGATGATAATATCGTCCTATACAGTATCATGTAGAGAATCACTGAGATGTGAATAAATAAATCATTACCACCAAAGGAGGGTAAATATTTACTACAAATGCAGAGTCAATGGGTGATTCCACGATTCCAGTGATGGAAAGAAGAACATGTGAAGGTCATCTGGTTGGTGGTTCAAATGCGTCACCAACGTAGGGCGTGTTCTTCACAACAGGATCTATATAGTTCTACGATCTCCGCCACTGAATATACAAAGCATCATTGTAGCTACCTGTTACACACAACGAGTTAACTCAAAGAGCTCTCCTCCAGAAAAAAATGCAGGCTGAGGAATACAATCGCAGAGGTAATCATAGGCTCCATTTTGCTATATTGACTGTCTGTGTTGTTATATTTCATTGCAAAGTAAATAAGTACACAATAGGCAAAATAAAGCTGAATTATACATTTGAATAGAAATATCATTCCAGCTGTTACAGTGTCTGTCACTGATCAGGTAAGGAGCTGGTGGACTACATCACACAGTACCTGGGCTCCATCAGGGAGAGGAAGGTGATTCCAGATGTGAAGCCAGGTTACATGAAGGAGCTTCTCCCCGACACCGCACCCACGGAGCCGGAGGACTGGGAGAGTATCTTCAACGATATTGAGAAAGTCATCATGCCAGGAGTAAGTTCCTACGGTCATCCATCATGATATCAGTAATTTGAAACAAGGACAAGGAAACAAGTATATTCTCATCTATTCCCCCCAGGTGGTTCACTGGCAGAGCCCTCACATGCATGCCTACTATCCCTGTCTGACTTCATGGCCCTCTATGCTCGGGGAAATGCTGGCCGATGCCATCAACTGTGTTGGATTCACCTGGGTAATGGGGACAACCCACACTTTTTTTCTTCACTACACTATCTAAAAAAAAAAAAAGCGAAAACGCCACAAGAATGAAGTCATACGATCTGAATAAATTGTGTTGTTGGTGCTGGTGTTAAACAGGCCGCCAACCCAGCTTGTACAGAACTGGAAATGAATGTGTTGGACTGGTTGTGTAAAGCACTGGGGCTCCCCTCCTTCTTCCTGCATCACCATCCTGAGAGCAGAGGCGGAGGCATACTGCAGGTCTGCAACACTTTGATCTGTTTATTATTTGAGTACAGTAGTCTGTGTGAACTAGCAGCTTATTGCTGTTCTTTTCTAACCCGACTCTCCTGTTAGAGCACTGTCAGTGAGAGCACACTTGTTGCTCTGCTGGCAGCCAGGAAAGACAAAATATTGCAGCTGCGGGCTGAGCTTGACCAGGACGTGGACGACTCAGTCCTAAATTCCAGACTGGTTGCATATGCTTCAGATCAGGTCAGTGTAACCGCTTTTTGTGCAACTAACTTCCCATAAATCCGAAGAAATAAACAGAGAAAGTGATTTGATGTGCGACTGCTTTTACAGGCTCATTCCTCAGTTGAGAAGGCAGGTCTGATCTCGCTGGTGAAGATCAGGTTTCTGCCCACTGATGAACAGTTGTCCCTGAGAGGAGACACTTTAAAACAAGCCATACAAGAGGACAGGTGCCTGGGACTGGTCCCTTTCATGGTAGATATTTGACCTCAGAATCATACCAGTGTTTTTTTCATGTTTTAGTTACCAACCCATCCTGTATAGTCATTTTGCAATACTGACAAAAACTGAGAGATTTCTTAGATGGAGTGTTTACAGATTATGCCAGATCGTGTTCTGAAACATACAGAACTGAACAGAAATGAATTGTAGTCGACTTTTATTAACTTTTATTTCATTTTCAAGTTTCATTTTTCATTGTATTGTATTGTATTGTATTGTATTGTATTGTATTCAAACAGTCAAAAAGTCCAACATCTGAGATTTGAAAGTCTGCTGTCAAATGGCAATTCCATCAGTGCAAGAGATTATGAAATGTATGTCTTTCCCAGCAACCTAACATCTGCTTTTCAGCCTCTGGGGAACTTAAGGGAGTTTCCTGCTGTTCTTGCTTCAGAGTTTGTAGATCATTGATATTGATACAAGATAGAAAGTCAAAAAGCTAAAAAGTACAGTATGAAAAAACAAACAAACAAAAAACATTAAATGTGATATATTATCTGTGATTTTGTTTTTCTCCTGTTCAGCTGTGTGCCACTTTGGGATCTACAGGTGTGTGTGCCTTCGACAATCTATCTGAACTGGGACCAGTCTGTACGTCTTCAAATTTACTCCCAATATTGTTTGCTTTAAGACTGTGTGTAAAGTCATTCCATTGAGATGCATTAGGAGAATTACAGTACTTGTATTTAAATATTTGTTAAAGCTGCAGAAGAGGGACTGTGGCTCCACGTTGATGCTGCGTATGCTGGCTCAGCCTACGTCTGTCCTGAGCTTCGCTGGTCCCTGAAAGGGATAGAATTTGCTCATTCTTTTGTCTTCAACCCTTCCAAGTGGATGATGGTCCATTTTGACTGCACAGCTTTCTGGTGAGTAAGAACACAAGAACACCAAAGCCTCTAAACCTTATCTATGAAAGTAGGTTTGAAAGTAAATATGAAGGATGCTTGATAGTTGTTAACAAGGTTTAACTTTGTTTTCTCAGGGTAAAGGATAAATATAAGCTCCAACAGACGTTCGCTGTTGATCCTGTTTACCTCAGACATGAAAACTCACAGGCAGCCACGGACTTTATGGTATAACGCTGTCATGTCTTCAACAAAGATTCAGTTATCATAGTGAATCATATTATGCAATGTCACTACTTTTTGTTGTTGTTGTTTAGCACTGGCAGATTCCCCTCAGCCGACGTTTCCGTTCTCTCAAACTCTGGTTTGTTATGCGCTCCTTTGGACTGAAAAACCTCCAGGCTCATATCAGACACGTAAGTGGTATTCAGTTAATATTATCAATATAAGGGACTTCATATATAAGTTAGTGTATTTACTGTAAGGAATTCTGTGACAACCGACAAAATTGTATTTGTTTTTAAGTTTGAGAATCTTTGTATGTATATTTCTGTCTTTTTTAGGGGATTGAGATGGCAAAGCTCTTGGAGTCCAACATAAGGAGTGACCCAAATTTTGAGGTTCCTGCTGAGAGGCACCTTGGCCTGGTGGTCTTCTGTCTCAAAGTAGGTCTTTTATCTTTGTTAAGCAACATGTCTTTCACTGGCTAATCATTGTTAAGATGAATAATTTTCCCAGTCACACCTTGTTCAAAGGTGAGTTACTGAATAACGTAGTTTTATCAAGCACAGGTGGAGGGCAGATCAATATCTGCCATCATTAAAATAAGCTAAAACCTTGATGTTGCTAAAATTGCTTTAATTTTATCTGGAAGCTTTAAGTTATTCGGGTTGTTATATTTTATGACATTTTCTTATTCTAGGAGGGAAATGATTTGACCCAGGAGCTGTTGAGGAGGCTTACCCGGTCAGGCACTATGTACCTCATCCCTGCAGACATCCACAACAAACGCATCATCCGATTTACGGTGACCTCACAATTTACAACTGCAGACGACATCCTTAAGGACTGGAGTATCATCTCCAAAACGGCTTCCGCTCTTCTGGCTGAGACACAGGCTCTGAACAATGCAGACCAACCAAAATCAGGGAGAGGTGAGGTGATAGGAGCTGAAGGAAACCAAGACCCTAACTCAGACACCGGGTCCAAGGAGAGAGAGGATGCTGCCTCCAGGCTGGACAAAGCTGAAGTGGAGCTGTGGATTGATAAGGCTTGGAATCCATCTAGGAGACCAATGCGCTCTCTTAGCTGCAGCAGCGAGCCTCTGCCTTACACTTACATTGGGGCATTGTCTGGCTATGACTTTGAAACGCGGCCTAGTCTCAAAGATGGTGCAGGTGCCCTCCCCACGGCATCAACAGCAGGACCTGATCCTGTGTTTGAGATCACAGAGATGCCTTCAAATATTTTAGATAAACAGGTCCTGAAAAAGCTGACAAAGTTTTACAGCGTGCCCAGTTTCTGCAACCAGTGGGTGCAGTGTGGCCGGCACCAGGTGTGCTGCCCTCTGAAGGTTTCACAGACAGCTCAAAAACACTTGACCTCCACCTGCAGAAGAATAAACTGTTTGTCTCCTGTAGCCAACACAGCTCCCTCTCCTACTCCACTGGAAACTGCCACTGCACCTAAGCTCCTGCAATGATCCCGACAGCAGTTTACAGTAGTTAATTCACAGAAATACAACTATTGATAATCAAGCCCTTTACTACCGTTCCAGCTGTGTTGGTGGTGAGCCAGCACAGTCAGCTCTCTGCAAAATGAAGATCACTATCTAACTCTGTGATTTGGGATTGCTTTGCTCATTTACAATCAATGTTTTTAATATATTTTTATTAAAATGTATTTCAAACACAATTATATCCCTTGACATATTTCAGTGTGCATTATTCTCCACAGAAGACAAAGTATCGCATGAAATGTGCTGTACATAAACACTCAATGTGCAGGTCATCTATCATTATTTGGCATCCTGTATCACACACAAACTTAAAAATCAAATGTACTATTTGAGGTTGACAATCCAATAATAAACACTGAACTCATTCAGAGCCTGACTCTTCCCTCTGCGATGGAGTTGAATATCTCCTGAGTCATAGGTACGTAGCCCTTATTGTCCTCCAGGTAGAACAAAGGGTCCTTGATGACAGCAGGGTTGAAGCCATCCTCTGCCAGTTTCCCCTTCATTTGCTTAAACGTCCCAGTTACTACCAGTGCATCCTGCCAGAGAAACATAAATGGTTACATTGCAAGACATTTTAAGTCAAATTCATGATTATTTTTATGTTATAATGTCAATTCAGCAGGACTTTATCACCTGTATGCGAATGAAGCGTGGTCTTGCATAGCTGGGGAGATAGTTTTTGACATGCTGATATGTCGTTTTGCCGTCAAAGTCCATGTTTTCTTTCAACTTCAGTGATGCCATTCCAATTCTTCCTTCGTGTCCTAATCAGTCAAGCCCAAAGTACAAAGAAGGGTTATTAGAGTTTGTGAGTATAAACAGCTTTGTACGTGTTTTATAATACCTTTAAAATAACCTTTAAAACGCCAAACAGACTCAAACCAATATAGTGCTGATAGGTTTTGGCCTTTTTATGAGATCTTTCAGATAATCATCATCTAATGAGTCTGTCCTTTATAAATGTTATAGCAAATGTTATAAAATCATTGCTAATAATACAATCATTACCTGGCACCTTCACACCATAGACATTAGCCTCCTCAACGCAGTCCACCATGAGCAAATGATCGGCTACCTCTGTGGTTGCCACATTTTCTCCTTTCCACCTGTATTAAATGATAATACAAAGACAGTACGTGCATAACTGAAATGTCTGAAACGTTTTCATTTAGCACTGGGAACAGTTTGCTATATTGGATAAAATTTGATTTAAATACAAGTATGGAGGAAAAACTCAATTTCAACTGGTTTCATTCAAGGACCTGAAAGTGTCTCCAATGCGGTCTTGAAAGAAGACAAATCCCTCATTGTCAATCTTTAGAAGGTCGCCACTGTTAAAGTAGAAGTCTCCCTTCACAAACACATCCCTCAGCTTCTTCTTCTCTGTCTGCTGCTTGTTTTTGGCGTAGCCGCTGAAAGGTGTTCTTTCGCCGATCTTTGCCACCAACAAACCGGTCTCTCCTGCAGGTGAACGCAAAACAAGCACGGGATGTGTATTAATAAGAGTAAAAAGGTCAAGAGAGAGCCCTATTTTCTGAGGAGACTGGCTCACCTCTGGGGACTTCAATACAAAATCCTTTGGAGTTTCTGACAGGCTCCTCTTTCTCTGTGTCATATCTTATGAGGGCATACGGACACCCCATCTGAAAAAGTTAAAGTATAAAACATATGGAAAATAATAAAATAATCAGTCATGGGCTTCCCCTGCAAGTTTGTCCCATGGTGTTAAATGTTACTCTACAAGGAAATACTGAAATTTGTGTATAAGGAACAAATAAACAGCAATATTCCCAATCCCTTTCTTACTTTGTGGAGAAAATGCTCCCTGCCAATTGCTCCAACTTTGCCAACGTAGTTGACAAAGCCAATATTTCCCTCTGTCGCTCCGTAGCATTCACAGATACGAATGTCCCCAAACCGTTGAAGGAAGTCAGCCCATATGTCGGCCCTTATCCCGTTCCCCAAAGCCAATCGGACTTTATGATCTCTGTCATTGTCTCTCTAGAGGACAGGAACGGAGAGGTGAGACGAGGATAATAAACATCACATTAGGATTGTCTTTGTTTGAGTACAGGCAGTGTGTGTTAGTGCTGCAAATTTCATGAACTATTTAAGATTCTAATAAATGTATCAACATGGTTAATGACGTCAGAGAAATAAAAACATACTGTGTGTATTTCATTCAGTTTTTACCTTTGGTGCGTTGCAGAGGTAGCGCATAATTTCCCCTATGTACTGAATAACAGTCACATTGTACTTCCTACAGTCATTCCAGAATTGGGAAGCAGAGAATTTACGTCTTAAAACAATAGTGAGACCTAGAAATGAAGAGGAAGAATTTCAGCGATATTGTCTCACATTGAGAGCTCAGTCAGTATTGTATATGTACGACCTTTAGGACTTTGAAATATAAATAGTGGTAATCTGAGCCAAACTGGGTGCTATTTGAGGTCATACACCTGTTAGTTTAACCTTTAGTAAACCCAGAGTGCAGCCTGGAAATCATGTTTTGTACTTTTATAATGCCACGAATCACCTTTGTCTATGGCTCCACAAAGTCCCATCAGAAAGCCAGCGCTGTGGTAAAGAGGCAGGTATATGTAGATGATATCGTCTGAGCGTACGCCAGAAACAGCCTGAAGAAAAGATGCCAACCATAGCCTCTCGTGGTTTATTACAGCTGCCTTGGGAAGCCCTAAAAGATAACATCGCAATTAAAAGCAGAAGTAGCGTATTTTTATTGTCATACTTCTGTCACTCAAGGACAGCACACTAAAAAACACATGCATAGATTAGAAGTGAAGGTCAGATTACCTGTGGTTCCTGAGGTGTAGATGTATAGCGCAGGACTCTTAATGTTAATGTTGGCCCTCAGCTCTGGTGACAGAGGCTGGTCTGAGGCCTGCTGAACCTTATCAGACAGGCTTTCAATGCCCTCCCCATCACATTCCTCGCTGAGGATAAAGACACGGACACCCTGCTGATTCAGGGTGGGCAACACCTCCTCTACAGCGTCTCGCAAGTCTGAGAGAGACAGGCATAAGTGAGCTAGTGAAGTGCAGTGAAAACACAAGTGGGAAAACAATGCAGACGTGGATAATCATGGGAATAAAGACAATTAAGATCAAACCCAGCTTCTTTAGATTAACCCAATATTACAAATTTCAATTTGCCTCAAAGGGGTTACAATCTGTACAGTATATGACAGTGATTTTCAAACTTGGTTCCAAGGACCAATAAGGGGTCCTTGAGTGTCCCCAGCAAAATAAGGAATATAACATTTGAACTTTTATAATTTATAGTGATTCTTGTTTAATTATTGTCTATGTTGACTTCATAATATTCCAACCTAAAAATAAAAACATTTACTCAGAGGGGATTCCTAAGGACTAAGCCCTCTCAAATTGGGAGTCCAATGGGCATCTATTGTGTTGGTCCTTGGCGTGACAAAATTTGGGAACCACTGGCAGATCACACCGTCCATCCTTAGAACCTTGATTCATATTATCTTATCTTATTCTTTTATTATCTTATCTGATTTTCGCAGCTTACCAGCACCAGCGACCAGGACTTTGGCTTCACAGCAGGAGAAGCAGTGCAGCAAAGATTTGGATCTGATGTTGTAGTTCAGCAGAGAAGCTGTGCATCCCAGCTTGGTCAGTGCGAGCCAGACCCACACAAACTGCGGCTCGTTACCCAGGAACAAGGCCACCGTGTCCCCCTCTTTCAGCTTGGCATGTGTGGATAAAGCTCTGGCCACTCTGTTGCTTTCTTTGTCGGCTTGGCTGTAAGTGTATGAGCTGTCCTCGAAAAGTATGAACTTCTTCTGCGGGTGCCTCGCAACTTTATCCAGAAAACGATCCAAAATACTGTAAAACGGTTTCTGCTTCTTGAATTTTCTTAATTGCATGGCGATTTTAATTGCAGTTACTGTGTAATTTAAATCTTTCAAAAAATAAGGGTTTCGCAAGTACAGCAAAAATGCCAAAAATGCCAAACCCGCAAGAGCGCTATATAGAACGTATGCAATCATTATAATGAGGAATAATGTGCCAGTCCTGCAGCTGTAGGAGTCCTGAGACGTTCAGTTTAAAACAACAGCTGAATACAGACCAATTTAGATTACGCCTCTTGAACTTTGAACGAGTTTCTCTAGGGGAGTAACAAAAGCCTATATGTGTTCCTGGGTGGAAACTTGGTGTGTCAAATGCTGCAGTGAAAAGAATCATCTTTTTTTGTGAACGGCACGGTGTTTTATCTTAACTTAACTGTATTTTTTATCTTTGTGTGTTCTCAAAATAAGCTTACTTGCACTGCACGTTGCCAAGACCAGGAATTGTGCTTGTGTTTGTTGACAGTAATGTTCAGAATCACACAAAACCTATTTAAACTATTAAAGAGAGACACAATTTAAACTATTTGAACTATTAAAGACAGAATATTTAATATTAAAATGTTTTAGAAATTCACAAAAACTCATGTATGCAATGCTGTGGAAAATGAATGGCACTTGCATAATATCATAGATCATTTTACCTTATGCCTGCAGTTAAAAATTATCTTGTGACACTAAGCAGGGGCTCCAATTAGTGTAAAATTGACACAATTATACTATGAACATAATAATAACCTACAGCGTAAAACTATTGCTGTTCGGAAAAGGCAGAAAGATTTAGATTATTCTGAGAATATTCAATGCTTTCAAATGGCAGTGCCCATGGGGAAATTATTTAGTGGTGTTACTGTTAGATAAGCTCAAAGGGACATCGAAACAGGAAACAAAGAAAAAAACAGGAAAAACACCAAATAAGCACTTAAATTACTGAATTTATTTACAGAACCATTCCATTGAATTGCAAAAGAGATGATTAATAGTGACTGGGGTGGCACAAGTGGGGCACTGACTTATGCTGGAGTGGATTAAAGTATGGGAAATTTATGCAATTCCAATATTAATTAGGGACTCCAAAAAGGTATCCCCCCCCTGAACACACCCCTGCACACCCCCGCAAGAGAGAAGAAAAACAGGCACAACCAAACAGTCCAAACAGAAATCTTAGATGATGAGCTTGATGTGCATCCAACTTCGTGCCAACAGTTTGAGTAATGCCCCTTTCATGCTTCAACATGAAAATGCCATAAACAGCACAGAAAGAAAATCCAAGCAGTATTGCCTAACACCAGTGTTGGACCTCACTAATGCTCTAGTGGCTCTAGTGGGAGCAAATCAGCAGTCAGGCTCCAAAATCTTGTGGAAAACCTTCCCAGAAGAGTGGAGGCTCTTGTGGAAGAACATTAATAGCCATGGTTTTGGAACAAGCATGGGTGGAATTGTCATATGTCCACGCTGATTTGTTCAACATGTATATCCCAACTACACCGAGGACAGATACTCTGGTAGCAAGTGACTTGTCTCCATCTTGTGGTTAGTCAGAACTAATTTTTTTTTTGCATTGTTGTAACTGTAATGAGTGAAAGCAGACATACACATGAAAACTAGTCCTAGTTTTAAAGTAATAAACACTTTAAGTTTTAGGGAATTTACAGATATTGGCATATAAATATAAAATTTGTATTAGGTCCCAATCTACATTTCTTTTGTTACTATTAAACCATTACATGCTATTCACGTCTTTCCTAAAAATAAAGTAACACTTCTCAACACCATTATAAGACTTAAGTAAAAGCAGCAGTCCTCATGTTGGAAAGCTGTCATCATGCTAGTAAATATACTATTTATTTTATTATTTGCTAGTATATAGTATATCATTTATGTTATCCGCCTCCACTTGCAGGCTGACTCCAGCCCCAGAAATGAATCCTTACGTATACATTCCTACACTTCTGATTCCCATCTACTGCTTTAAATAAATGAGTTCAGGTTTTCATATTACTTTACAACGAACAAATGATGCCAGTATTAGAAAAAAGATTTGCTCAGCCACTGAGCTGGACGTTCGTTATTATAAGTATCAATGCAGCAACTAAGCGCTCATAATTTGATATTTCCTGATATGATGCTTCTGTAGACCTCAGCTGTCAGCTGTATGTAACTCTTCTCATGATCATCAAGGATGTAAAGAGGGTCCTGGATACGTCCTGGGTCAAAACTGTCCTCCACTAACTTCCCCTTCATTTGTTTGAACGTTCCTGTTACCTCCACAGCATTCTAGATGGGTGAAAAGTACAAAATACTCACTCAGGTGCAGTATCAAAATATCACCATCAAACACAACGAGACAATGCATTGTCCAATATTGGCAAAGTGGCATAAACATAGTAATTTACATTTTTTTGAACAGAACAGTGCAGTCAAGTGTGTGTGAAATAAAAAATACCTGTATCCTTATAAAGCGAGGTCTGGCATACGAGGGCAGGTAGTTAACCACATGGTTATATATTTTGCTTCCATCAAACTGGGCACCTTCATTCACAGTGATGGCTGCCATTCCTATCCGCCCCTCATGCCCTGCCGAACAACAGAAACAGACAAAGCACTTGTTTTCATTAACTAATTCATAACCGTATCAATGTCTCTCTTCAGCCGTCTGTCATTTGGAAGTCTGATATTCTCATTAAACATACTGTGGTGAGCTAAAATGACCATCACCTGGAACTTGGACTCCATAAACGTTGGCTTCTTTCAGACAATCATTGATGGTCAGGATGTCAGACACCTCTGTTGTGGCCACATTCTCCCCTTTCCACCTGTAGGCTCAAACAAGTTACAACTTTCAATTTGGTTTTGTTTGTTAACCAAAGGCAGCGGTACATTTTACAGGTCTGTGTATGTCAGGAAACAAAAACATATTCTCCCTTTGCACACTAAAAGCTAATGTCTGAGCAACAAATAAAAACAAATGATTGCGTAGAACGTCACAACTTTTCCAAAGAAACCTGATACACAACATCTTTGCTGCTGAAAAAATGCACCCAGTGGTCAATAGAAAATTTTGTTAATTAGTTTTTAGTAGAAAGATTGTTGAATTTAAAAGGAAACAAAGGGCATTATCAGAGAACCATATAACCCTTTTGTTTTATCTTTTATTCAAGCAGAATCATAAAAAATAAAAAAAAAAAGTTTCTACAAAAAGTGGCAGAATCTCTCTTCAACCAGTGGCAGGTTAAATAACCAGAAAATATATTAACTATACTGGATCTATCCTACAATACATTCTTTCCTTGTTATTCTTTTCACCTTTAACAGTAAAGCATCAGTGACCCTGTGATATATCGCTGTATGACTCTAAACTATAAACAATTTCTTCTGTACCTGAATGTGTCACCTACACGATCCTGAAAGTAAATGAAGTTGTCATGATCAATCCTCATTAGGTCTCCGCTGTTGAAGTAAAGATCTCCCATCTTGAGAACATTACGAATTCTTTTCCTCTCCGTTTGTTCTTCATTCTGGGCGTAACCGACAAAAGGAGCAATGTCTGTGATCTTCGACACCAGCAGTCCTGTTTCGCCTTAAAAAAAAAAACAAGAGACATGTCTTTTACTGCCATTGTCTATCAATGGACTACTTGCCTCATCTATAGGGTCCTGACTTGGGTGGGAAATAGTCACTGACTGCAAGATCTAGATGTAATAAAATAATCAAGAAACCTATATCAAGTGTATAGAGTCGAGGTTAAAATACTGTGATACAGCAGTCTAATTTATATTAACATTTGCATAAGTTTCTTCACCTTTGGAGGACTCCACACAGAGGCCATTAGCACCTCGAACTGGTTCATCTCGCTCTGTGTTATACTTAATCAGAGTGTAGGGAAACAGCGCCTACAGGAGGAAGTAAAGACATTGCATTATGTGCCCAATACACATTTATACCAACAGCAGAATCAATCACAGTGGTGGGGTTTATTCAAGTACTATTAATTAATTAGTACAAATTTAAGATACTCGTACATTACTTGAGTATTTCCATTTTAAGTAAAGGTATGTGTCCACCGGATCAGTATTTTCCATGCTTTCCATTCATTGTCTATATTAGGGGTTCTCAACCTTTTTAGAGTTGGGACCCCCCAGAATAATCAGGTTAGTGCGACCCCCAACCACCCCTGCAACCAAACTCACACACAAAGACCACAGACCGAACTAATTTGTGTTTTTAGATTTATTGAAATAATGACACTTTCAGAGTCAACAGTCAACATGTCTGCTTTAGGCCTAAAAGTACAATAATAGATAATGAGATAATTGGGCCTGTTAACATGTATAAAAACAGAGTATATATAGTATACTGTGTTTTTGAGTTCTTGTCCCCTGCGTTGAATGTCATTAAAGCTGAGAGCTGCTTCCTGTCTCTCATTCTGCGCTGCTTGCCACAATATGTTATTTTATTTTAGTCTCCACAACCACTTGGCAACCCCTGGAAATTATCTCAGGTTGAGAACTACTGGTTCTATGTGACCCCTGTGCAATGCATTCTGGTAGCACTACAGTGAGTTCAGAGGGGCCATGTAGGGGCTTGTGTGTTACAGTCTCCATCCTGTGGTGTTCAGTGGATGAGGCACTGAAAGACTACACTCAGTGTTTTTGTTTTCATTCAATTAATTTCAGCGCATTCATTTGGAACAGTGAACAGAGTTTCACTGGAACTACTTAGTAGGTGTCCTACATAGATGTTTCTACCATGGTCTGGATGATTACTCAATTCTAATTGACTGCAGGGAGTCCGTTAATTCCTGCTATACTCTACTCACTACATCTCAGAGGCAAACATTGTACTTTTTATTACATTTTATTTTCATTACTTTCTTTTTACTCCACTACATCACTATATCCCAACATATTGTAACAGCCATAATTGTAAAATGCTCCTTTATGATACTGTGTTGCCAATATATGAGAGAAACATCATCAGACAGCACCAAGCCTGTCTTGAGCGGTATACCTGCTGCAAATGGATCCCTTTTGCTGAGCTCCTGTTTTTCTTTTGCCTCTCAACTCAAGCATAATGTTTGGATTATGTGTGGCCTCTGTTTTGTTCATGTATAATAAAATAGAAGCTGTACAAGCAGACTTGATGAGGTTGATTTATTTAGTAATAATTTAAGTATTGTGGAAAAACCCCTGTACCAGCATGGCTGTAAGTTCATCTTTT